GTTCTTGTAACCTACTCCAGTTCTTGTAGCCTACTCCAGTTCTTGTAACCTACTCCAGTTCTTGTAGCCTACTCCAGTTCTTGTAACCTACTCCAGTTCTTGTAGCCTACTCCAGTTCTTGTAGCTCTCGTGGCTTAGAGGTTAAGGTGTTTGCCTTTCATTCAAAGGTTCCCGGTTCGAATCCGGGTAGCAACGGAAACAATAATTTTCTTATCTAAAATTGTCTCCTTTCACCCCCTTTCATGCTCTCAAGCAATATTCTATCGTTTGCTTTCGTCTCCACTTTCTGCCCCCAGCCCCTCTCCTCCTTTGGCCCCTCCTCTGGGCTTCGGACTCTGTCTGCACGCTTCCTGCTGCTACTACTTGACTGCTTCTTACTGCTGTCTTTCAGCCACACCCTTGATCTTCTAGAAGGAAAGATCTACCCTCAACCTTCTCAGACAAGGGCAAAAAATGGGACGAGGTCCCATGTGCAAGGTGTACAAGTGAAAGATCTCTTGGTGGCCTAAAATCGATAAGAAGAGTAGGCTTCGGCCGTCACCCGGGCAAAATTCAAAATTTCCTACCCACCGAAAATGTTTAATGCGCTCAAATGACCTTATGCAGCTGCGAGCGCCGTAAGGCATTTTCCCAAGACATAATAAAAAACTGTTGATAATCAAAGACACCACCAATATTTTTCCTAAGCCTTTACTCTTTTGGGCCCCCCTCCACCTCCCCCCTCCCACTGTTAATCCAACTTAAGGTGAGCTGTGACTGTTGTGAATCGGTTAGGCCTATCGCCACTGTACGCTGCATCCTGTACATCAATGGAAATAACAACTAGATAGATCTAGAACTAGGGAAACTCATCTTGAATCAATTCAGTGACCTTGGCATTAACCAATTTCGTTCTTAGTAAACGATCGCAGGTGACAAAGTAAGTTTTTAGTTAGGAGGTATCAATTCGAACGAGGGTAGCCTATCCTCATGCGCAATGCAAAATGTTCGAGTTTTTTAATATTCCCAGTGAATACGTTTCGTTTTGTTTCGTTTTGTTTTTGTTCGTTAATTTTTGTTTTTTTGTTTCGTGTTTTTTGTTTAAAAAATTGAATCACCATGTTTGCTTGCTTTGATGTTGTATCATTTTCAGCTCATCTTTGCTCTTGCAAAAACACGCTCAAAGAAGCCCGTCTCCCTAACTACTGTCTAATTACTGATTATGAGAGCGTAACGACATTTACGATCACACTTCCACTTAACAACGTGAGGTGGCTGGCATTCTGTGGAGTGGATACGCGATTTCCAAATCCTGAAATTTCACCTGTCTCTGTTTTTCTTTAGATCTATCACTAACTATCTCAGTATGTGTGTGTGTGTGTGTGTATGTGTGTGTGTGTGTGTGTGTGTGTGTGTGAGAGAGTGTGTGTGTGTGTGTGAGAGAGA